ATCTGGTGCACGGGAGGAGCGGCGGGGGGGGAGGGTGGGGTGGGGTACTCAGGTAAACGCATGCCGTAGTCGTTAGACCATTGCCCACGCATCCCTTCAATGCCGGGTCGGAGCAATCTGCCGGGTTTTCGCCGGCCAAAGTTATAGGCTGTGGGAGGGGTGACGAAGAACGACCGGGTGACAAGAGGAACGAGCCTAAAATTGCGATGCTTGAGACAGTCGGTTGCCATGTCAAAAGCACTTGTGCACGTAGCTGGCAACAGCTCGGGACGATGTCACTCTTTTTGACGCCAGCACAGAGGGGAGCAAAAATGAAGTTAAGGCCCTCACAACAGCGCTTGCGCCACCGCATGTATGCATACTCATTCCATCACAAGAGAAGCACGAAACAAAAGTGACGCAAGGCAACACACGAAAAAAAAAAAACTTCGTTGGTGCTATTTCTAGCAAATACGGCTCCTGCCACTACTCCTGCTGCCGTGTACCTTGCACTCGGCGATGCCGCTGCCCAAGTTTTCCACCAGCATGGGAGTCACTCTGATGAGCGAGCTTCCCCCCTTCCCTCCGGCGAGCATGACCCACCACGGCTCGCCCTTGGCGATCAAGGACCCAGCCTCCGGCCTCCTGTTTCGCGGTATATTTCCCGGTACGGTATACCCGTCACACCGAGTGAGAAAAACAGGACGAGCGATAGGCACAAGGCAAAGGTAAAGGCCGGGTGTCGCCGTGATGAAAACCAAAATGTGATTGTAGCGCATGGTACTTGTAGCCATGGGGCGAAAGGGTGGCAGAGGGAGAGGAAGTGACACGGGCAAGCCAGCGAGGGGGGCGGCTGAGGCGGTTGCGCGCGGCCACGGCACAGCCGTCCATTCTCAATCCCGTCAGATTTCACAAACAGCAACGAAAACCAAATCGGTGTCTTCAGCGCAGTTTGCTACATGACCATTCGCTTCTGCTGCGCAGATTCTATAGCTGTGGGAGAGAATCCACAACTTAAGGGGCGAGGGTCGTCACGCTGGCGGGGGGGCAAGCACACCTGCGGCGGAGTCCCTGGTACTCCGGCGCGTGCTCTCGGGCGATGGTGATCGTAGCGGTGACCGTGTCTCCCACGGCTACCTGGCTCTCTCCCCACGTCTCCACCGCCACGCTCTTTACCTGATGGACGAGAGGACGGTGGCGGTGATTAAGATGCTCTAGCAAGTACGTGCCCTGACTGCTCGTTGGCTCCCTAGAGAAGCTTATGTGCGACCGTTCAGGGTCTCTCTTAAAGACGGAATGATGTCCGGAGCGGGACACACTGCACTTGACAATGTTGCACTACAAACTCAAGACTGGCATCATCTAAACTCTCCGTGTGAATCGAATGATGTCATCCAGTTAAAACCAAGTGCCCAGTCAGGAACTGTTGCGAGAAACGACCCGTGAAGGTCACTTCAAGCGTGACAAGCACAACACAAACATACGGTAACGACAGGGAAAATAGAAGAAAAAAAAAAATTTCCTCAGCAAGCACCACTAAGCCGCCCATGCAGTCACACCGACAGCGGATTGCGTACGGCTAAACAGGCAAACGCATTCAATAACGGCGTCTCACACACCTTGATGCTGGGCACAGCAGCGTCCAAGTCCAAATCTACCTCCTCGCGCTGCCGCTCGAGGGCCGCGGGGTCCTCCGACGACCACAGCCGGCGCCTCAGCATGGCCTTCGTCTCCACCACGGTGCCCAGCAGCTGGGGCGACGCCCGCCTCGCCGCAACCTGCATACAGGCGTCCAGGAGCGGCTCGGCGAGGCCGAACACCAGGTCCTGCTCCCGGGCCAGCCTTCCGCCCGCGGAGACGGCGGCCAGAAGCCGGGAACCCTTGCCACCGCCTCCTGCGGTCGAAACCCCTCCGGCGCTCCCCTCATCATCATTATCATCTCCATTTTCGCCGCCTCCTGGCGCTGCTGCTACCCCCCCGTCCACGGCAGCGTCCGGCGGCGGGGCGCGGTGCAGAGCGCTCAGCATCACCACGAGGTTGTGCGCCACGACCCGGGAGAGCTCCGGGCTCTCGCGAGCAGTGCGGCGGTTCCCTTCCCCCCTCCTCCCCTGCGTGAAAAACTCCCCGTCTACCTCGCCCTTCGTCCCCGCTGCAGCAGCGGCGGGAGACTGTTCCTCTCCGGAAGCCGGGCTCTCGCCGCCCTTGCCCTTGCCGGAACCACTCTTCCCTTTCCCTTTCCCCTTCCCCTTCCGTGAGGCTGGCTTTGCCGCTGCCGCCGCCGCCGGGGGGGGAGGGGTCGGCGACGAGGAAAGGGGGCCGCGCAACGGCGGGGCCCCCCCTTCTCGCTCGAGGAGCCAGTCTCGCACGGGGTCGGTGATGGCTTCCATCTCTCCCGCCAGGACCCGGCGCTCCGCGGAGCACAGCTGCGGGCAGGCGGCGAGGCACTCTAGCACGTCGGCCGTCGAGCTTGTGTCGTCCAGGTTGCTCAGCAAGGCCTGGACCCACGCAGCCGTAAACATCCAAGAAGGGAGCAACAGACAAAACACCAAATTACGAACCATGCCAAAAGAGCCCAAACCACTCGGGAAAACGAAACAAGTGAACATGGCCCATACACGGAACTCCTCGATGTATTCAATCAAGATCCCATACCCCCACCGGGGGGGAGGGCGTGTACTCATAGCCGTTCATGCCGTAGTAGTCGTTTGACTACTGACCTCGCATACTTGCAAAGCCGGGCCGGAGCACGCCGGGTTTTCACCGGACCAGGCTAGCACATCACCGAGGGTTGGGGGGGGGGGTTGCTGGCGCGCAGCAAAAAAACACAGAAAAATGGCAGCCATATCTAGATACTTCATTTCCGGGTCATCCCAATTAGAACACGAACTCGCGCATACCTTGACGTCCTCGTCGGTGACCTCGAAATCGGGCTGTTTGCCGCCCCCGGCAGGGTCCAGCAAGTCCAGGGTGACCTTGGCGCCCAGCACAAAGCCTAGCAGCACGGCCTGCCGTGTATGGTTGTCACAAAATCATTCATGTTGTAGAGGCGAACCATATTGTTGTGGTCGCAGCACCAGCAGGCCTGCGATACTCCACTCGAGGGCAAACAAGGCACGACCTTTCCGGACGTGAAATTAATTCATTACTTTGTGAAAAAAGTGCCTGCAGTACGGTATGCCAGTGTGATCGTTTAGAGCGCGCGCGCGGGGGGGGGGTACGACCGAGTTTCACACCATGGGGTGGCCAAGATCCGCGAAAAAAATGATACAATGCAGCAGCAGTGACTCACCATGTATGCCAGCCCGTAGAGCACCAGCGTACCGTTGTCCGTGTCCTTGCCAGGCCGAAGCCACGCCGGAAGCGCGAGATCGAACGTCCACGGCTGGTACCCGTCCGGGTGACCGTACTGCTCCCAGTTACGCCGCGCCTCCGGGTCGCTAAGCGCCTGTTATGTTAGGGGGGGGGGTCAGGTATGTACATGTACCGCCGGTGCGTAGGGGTGTGTGTCGTGGAGGGGGATTAATAACGTCCACAAAGAAGTTGTCGCAGCCGAGCACCCAGACTCCATGACACGGGTGTACCCCGTGGAAAACACGAAAGCCGTTTGCACGTAGCATACACCATGAGGGAGGAAATATTTATCTTTCGGCAGAGATTCCAACCGAGGACCACGCTTTCTCATCCCAAAACGAAAGCCCTATTCTGCCGCATGCAGACCCTATCCTCGTGCAACCGTGGACAGGAAGGGGGGTGATCTCCCCGTGCCGACGAGTGACGACCGACGAGAGAGCTAGAGCACAGTCGGGTGCCCTCAGAGATGCGGGTGTGTGCCAAGCGCTTTCACCCGCACAATAACGGGCACCCGCACCATTCAACTATATTGACAATCTTGAGTATCCCGTCCGTGCAAGCCATTTACCCTAACCATAGCGGGAACCCGCACCAATCAAGTGTATTGACCATCTTGAGTATCCCATGCGCGCCAGCCAATTTCAACCGCGCTATAGCGGGGACCAAGCACTTTATTGCGTCCCCAAAACTGACAATTACTAAGAACCCAAAACAAAACGAAACACACCCACCCGTATTGTACTTTTGTCGCCCTCTCATGAATCCGATAAACGTGCATAGCGACCATGATGACAAGGTCGCAATACACCCAGAGCCCGCACAATAGCGGGAACCCGACTGCACTCTGCGGTGCTGCTGCTCCTTCTTCTCTGCCCTCTCACCTTATACGCCTTGGCGACTTGGTTGAACTTCTTGTTGGCCTCGCGCCTGTTGCCGGGGTTCTTGTCCGGGTGGTGCTTCAGGGAGAGCCGTCGGTAGTGCGACTTGATCACCGTGGCGTTGGCTCTCGAAGGCAGGTCAAGAATCTGGCAACAAAGGATTATGGTGGTGGGCCGACAAGGAGACAGCTAGCTTACTTCGAAACTTGTTCTCGAGATGAACAGGTTTACGAGGATGTAGAACGGGGAGGGGAGATGCAGACCCCATTCCCTATCCCTTACCCTAACCGCTAACCCCTACCCTAACCATACTTCCCCGATTGTATGATTTATCCAACATATTTACACAATGCAAAAAACCCTAGAAGGCTGCTGGTTTATCGGTCCGTCGCTTGTTGCTCCTCATCATCGCGACGAACGCAAAAACAACAAGACCGGAGTAGTCTTACGACTAATTCGTTGTGTCGTTCGTAAGAAAAAAACAATCACGGACGGTGCATGAGCGTACCCCGAAGAAGCTATCCATATTCATGCCGCCAAGTACAGGAAAGAAGGGATGGCATACTGTACAGTCAGCCGAGCTGGGAGACACGTGCAACAGTAACAAACAATGCCATATGCTTCTCGGACAAATCGGGTTTTCTGCGGTTCTGCTTGCCGATCAAGGGGCAGTTCTGCGTGCCGAACAAGGGGCAGCACTCACGTGGTAGGGGTCGAAATGCTCCGCTTCTGTCTGCATGGAGGAGGCCACTTGGTTGAAGGCGTAGCTGACCATGTCCAGTACACCATGAGGAGACGCATCACAAACATAGCGACTTCGCAATTAGATTTGGCAGGAAGAAGGTGTAAGTTATGTGGAGCATCGCGAGGGTGGGTGTTCGTTGTTGCGTGCACACGTTTCCGATGTTGCCAAGTTTTGCCAGGCGTTTCGCGGCTGGAGTGCGACGCCGAGGTGTACAGGAACAGCAGCAGCTAGAAATAATAGTCTACCGGTAATCCTGGAGGCACTACCGTAGAAGTGGACAACAACTAGCCTATACCACCGCTAGCAAACCAGGCACCAGGGAATCACCACGTGATCTTTTATTATATGGAGTAGGACAAGTAGCATCATACACGAAGTAGAAGTAAAAATAACAATAATGATCTATCTTAGACTTATTTCTATAGATAAAAGATGGATTTGTTGTGTGATATTATGGGTGGTTCTTAACGCGTCGGAAAAGTAGTAAAATTTTCCACGGAACGGTGACAAGAAAACCCGGCTGTTTTTCGCTTGTTCTATTCGTGATGTCATCGCAAAAAGAACGTTTCCTTCCCTGAATACACGCTTTGCTCGGCACACAACAGGTTGAGTTGGTGTAGCTCACCATAGAGCAGCGGTAAAAGCGCAATGAGCAGCACCCGACACAGAGGACAATACACTTAGAAATATGATGTCCACCCGGCCTGCTGTTTTCAGTTTTCAGCAACAACAGGCGCGGGGCAGAGTGTCGCAACCTGGGTGTTGCTTGCGATTTTTTCAGTTTGCCAGCTCATTTTCCACAGTTGCGACTACCATCTGTGACCACCACCTGCCCAAAGGTAGACGAGCTCAACAATCATAGGGCGGCAGCCGCGCTGACGGCCAGCATCATATAGATGGCCAATCCGAAAGAATTAGCGTGTCGGAGGCCCTGCTGCTCTTCTGCTGCGTGGTGCCGTGGAGTGGTGTTGACGTGTCCGACCAAAACAGACCATCTCGCCGCATTTTTTCCAACGGCATTTTGGTGAGGTGGCACACGTCTCTCACACACCTTATTGAGCAGCACCCAAGCACCCAATACCCACGAAGCAGTACGGCGCCGGGAGATGGTATCATATAGACAGCCGAACCGAAGGAATGAGCGCGTTGGAGGTCTTGGTACTGCTGCTGTACCCGTTCTACTGCTGTTTCCGAGTTTGCCATGTGTGATTGAAAAAAATTCCCCGACACCAACAGCAGCAGTTGAAGACGAGAACACCACGCAATGTCTAGTTTTGGACCAAAAACGGACTGAACGCCGCTTCTGCCGGTTGTCCATCTCCACAACAGACCTGGACGTGAGTCTGACGGGTCTTTCTAGTGTTCTCGGTCATGTTACAGTGCCCGCGGTGCACTTGCCCGATGCTTCTGTCAAAAACACGGATCCGTGAAAGTAGCAAGCCCCGAAAAACCCCGGCTCCTTCTTTTCACGTTTCCGGGGAAAAACGCCTCCGTATATGTTCAAGAAAACACGCTTCCGTGAAATGTTCCGTGTTTTTTCGGTCGTTGAGAACTACCCTATAAGAAAATGAAAAATAACGATCATGTTGTGACAAGGCCTCCGAACCGACACGCAGGCTGCCGCGCAAGCCGGGGGGGACACCAGCGGAGTTTCGTCGCCCCGTTGGTGCACACCACCCAACACTGATTGACACAAAAGACTGAAAAACCAACCACCGACACGTGGATGGGTGAACTCTGCATTGTCGGCTGCTTTGCTTATCTGGTGTTCGGTTCGAAACATACGTACAGCAGCAATGCAGCAATGCGGTCGGTGCCTGCTCTCCGCCAGCATCGGTTGCTGTCAACCATGCGCCATCAACATACGATTGTCGTCCTGTGTACATGTCGTCGGAGGGTTCGATTGCACGATGGCCCACTACTCGCTCTACTCACTCCAGAAGAACCTGCAACCGGCAATGCAGACGACTCCCAGTTGCACAACCCACAACGTCAACCACACCCCTTACCAAGATGCGCCCAGCACCAACACCTGACCGAGGAACCAGACGTTCAGCAAGCCCTTTCCGTCGGGAGCGGCTCGACCCCTTGCAGCGCGGAGCCCGTGGCTCCATAGCTTCCGACACACGGAGATCCCCACGACGGGGATGATCAGGCCCAGGCCCGCAGCGTACATGGTCGTGTCGCCACTCATGGTGCTTTGATAAGCAAGCCTGCTGCTGTTACTGCTGTCTGCTGTGTCAAGAGTACTGGCGGCGGAACGTTGTTGCTGCACCTAATGTACCCGGTGTGTGTGTGTGCTCCGGTTCTGTTCCTCCAGTGGATCACAACGGGCACCGACCCCTCGGCAAAGCAAGAGGGTCGATACACGTGACACTCCCTTCAGCACGGGCACACGCTCATCCACTGCTGCGCTGCATTGCCTGCGGTGACACTGGCACTGCCAGCAGTGTCGCACACGCACCCAGGCACGACACTGCAACAGCGTAACGCGGGGGGCGTATATCATTTTGCGGAGCCCCCGAGGCGGCGAGAAGTGGGTCATCCATGATTGAGGCAGAGCAAAAGAGGGCCGAGGAGGACCAACTCACACACGCCTTCTAGCCATGACGCCCAAGAAGTCACCGCTGTTTGCCCCGACGAGGCGATTATCCTCCTGCCTTATTGCCCTGCTGACTTATGGCGTCGCCCAAGCGGGAGAGGGAGCCCTGGACCAGCGCCCTAAACAAATCCATCCTTCGTACCTGCAACAGCAGCAGCTCCTCCAGCAGCAACGAGAACAACAACACGCAGAACAACTCCAGTTGACGCCCGCCGTATCCACGACTGCCAAGCTCCTGGAAAGAATCACTGGGGGCGCGAATAACCACCGCCGACGAAAGCACTCCTCCCGTCACCAGCCTGCGGGGGGCGGCGGCGGCGGGGGCTCGGCGGCGCCTGATGCAATAGAAGTCTCAGGAGCAGACCTCGCTGAGAGCACCAACGGCAGGTCGTCTCAGCAGCAGCACCTTGATGGGGTCTACGTCCGGGAGTGGGATGTCAACGGCGCGCCGCACTTCAAGAGGCGCAGCAAGGTAGGCGTAGAAAAGGGCAGGGAGGAGTTCGGGGGGGGGTGGTGTTATGGAGTCTGTGTCGCAACCGGCGTTGGAATCACATTTAGACTAGACTAGTCTAGTACCTCGCTGCACGCTACCGTCCTATTGGTCCGTATTGTAGTTCAATGACCTTGTGTCGTCGGTCGTCGACTTGTCGTAGTTCACGAACATCTGGAGATACGCATGGATACGTTGCACGTACTGTAGACATATGCATAGCTTCGTTTGACAAAAGAACGTTGAGGCTCGAGGCCGCGACAAATCACAATACAATGAAATGGTTCACGGTCTGCTTTTGGAGCGTATCGGTGATGTTCTTATCGCCGTGTACTTCAAGCACAACACCTTTTACGTTGCGCCTTCTTGTTCGAAATGCGTCCACCGCGGCGGCGGCCACCGCAACGTGTGCCACTTGCCAATAGATGTAGCGGTGCGTTGGAGCGTAAACCACGGCGCCAAGCGTTGAACTCTCTGCAAGCGGCGTGCTTTGTTGGGTGACTGAAGAATTCATCCCCGTATCGCGCGCATTGAAACTTGGAAGAAGGAACGACAACCGTCATGATTTGGATATTGTCCTTGTCAGTACCCTTCGCAGCTTTTTCTATCAAGTAAACATGTTGTTCGACTGCTTGGGTTATATCTCGAACGGGCAGTCTTTCTGTGTTGGATAGAGCATGCAATCGGGAAAGGTGGGTGGGTCTAGTTCTTGGGGTTGCAGACCCCAGGGGCCCGTACATCTGCGTGTCGTCCACTTGGCGAGTGATGACGGGCCCTCTATATGTTGTGTGTTACCGTAGGTTGCGTAAGAATCACACCCCCCTAGACCGATTTTCGAAGCTCGATACCTCGGCAGGAACATCAGTGACGGTGCCCAAGGCGGTGGAGTTGAAACCTTCTCGTCGAGAGCTTTCCGAAAAACGTTTTCTTTGATTTCGGCGTCCTCTTCGTCGTGGAGTAATCGAACTTTGAAAATCGGTCCAGGGTGCGTGATATCTCATACAACCTACGGTATGTCCCAAGGGTCCTTCTCCTTCGAAGAAAACGCATCGCCTGCCGTATCCATGCATACCTATCAACTGCTGTTGCGGCTTGCGTGAACCCCCGCTCTTCTCCCCTTTTTTGTTGGCGTATTTAAGAGAGGAAGCCGATCGTCTCCGGTGCACCTGTTCTTCACGGGGAGTGAGTGGATGCTGCACCTTGACGTGGACGCTAACCTGGACATCAACCACTGCCTGGCTTACTCGGAGGTGAGCGGTCGATGTTCTTCGAATGGCTGCCGTAGGTGACACAAGATATCACACCCCCTGTAGAACTTTTTCCTGAAGCTTGATTGCTCCACAGCAGAGACAAAAGAGTGACGGTGCCCAAGAATGCGGCGTTTTTCGGAACCGTCTGGTCGAGAGCCTTTCGATCGCCTCATGCAGATATCCTCTTCGTCGTGTGGAGTAAGTCGAGCTTTGAAGATAGGTCCAGGGGGCGTGATATCTTACGCAATTGATATCTTGTGTCACTCTCGGGTACGTTGCTACCCTGCACCCAAGGAAGAGGTTCCACGCGTTCCTGCCGTGTTTACTGCCGTGGTCCCTTTCCTTCTGATATCGAAGCCACGAGTTTTTTCGAACCGCAACCTTTTCTCGTTGTAGAAAGGTGTTCGTCTGTGGCCACGAAAGGTGTGAGCGCCAGTTGGACCAGTACGGGTATTAGAGGGTGCTGAGCGGAGACCGGACTGTTTTTAATGTGAAGACAACAACAAAACTAGCACGGAAGGTACTGAGCGGAGTCCGGAGCGGTTTTTAATGTGAAGGCCAACAATGGAGCAGTACGGATACTTGTATTAGAAGGTACTGGCGGAGACCGGAACGTTTTTGGATGTGAAGACAACAACAACGAAAACAACAACATCAATCTTGATCCCGCAGGTGGCGGAGGTAAATCCGTTGAGAACGACCCGCAAGTGGGCGGTGCGCGTGGGACAGGCGTGGGTTAGGAGGCCTCACATGAGGCTGGCGGAAACTTCTCCGGGCGCCGAGCCTAGGGTACCGGCTTGGAAGGCTAAGGTAAGGGTAAACAGTAGTGGTAGCAGTGTAGAGATGAGGTGAGTTTGACGGCAGCCTTATAGTAAGGAAACCTAGTGAGATTGACGGCACCCTTAAAGAAAGCAATGTGGTGGGTGTTGCCGGCCCTCAGGCCCCGCCCGCGCTTACCTTCTTTCGCCAGCAGTAGAAAAAGGTCCCACCGTCCTCCGTGTGGTGTTGTAGTATCCGCGGTCTGTTTGGGCGCTGCTGCTGCCGTTCTAATCGACGGGCCCCTGCTCAACTAGCTACCGCTGCGCGTTTCTTTTCTGCAGGAGGCGCGGCCTGTACCCCTTCCGCCCCGCCCCCCATGCAACGCTAGTCGTATCGAGAGGATGTTTACACGCAAAAAGAGCCATCGCCGCTGCCTTCCCTCTTGCTCCTTCAGCAGGAGTTGCCGCCTGCACCCCTCCCACCCCCACGGTGCAACGCCGGTCGTAGCCAGAGCGCGTTTACGCACATACACTCACCACGCGCCGTCGCCATTCCCGCAAGAGGCGTCACCGCCCCCCCCCGTCTCCCTTGCTTCTTCAGCAGGCGGAGAGTCGAGCATCAGCAGGGGCTAACCGCTACAGCGGGAGCAGCGATAACGGCCTGGCTTCTGCGGAGGCCCAGAAGGCCATCGACGACGCGGCCCTTAGCCGGAGGCTGCTGCCCCTTTACGCGGTTTTCGTGCTTGACGCGGTGGGGCTGGGGGTAGCCCTGCCCGTGCTGCCGTTCTTCGTTATGGGGCTCAAGGCCACGGCGCTGCAGCTGGCCATCGTTGTTTCTTCCAACTACATCGCTCAGACCTTCGGTAAGGGATGAAGGCGGGGCCACTCATCATGGTCGTGCATGCCGTAGTCGTTTGACCATTGACCTGGCATCCCTACAGAGGCGGGGCGGGAGCACGCCGAGTAATGAGCGGACCAGGCTCACAAAGCGCGAAGCGGCGTGAGGTGTTGGGCGAGTCGCATGGCGGGGCGCACTCATGTTGTTCACTTTTAGGTGTGGTTAGACCGTTAATAATGCGTCCTCGAGAGGACGGAGCAGAGGGGAGAGAAGCGCGCCCACAGCTTTGGAGTGTTTTCGTTGATGGGACCGATAGGTATATTTAGTAGTTTGTGAGAACACACACGGGGATATGGGCGAGACATGGGGTGAACCCGGCGCACGCACTTGTGGGTTGATGTTCTCATCGATGCGGGCGGTGCTAGTAGTCATGAGAACACACATGAAGGTTTGCTTGAGACGTTGAATGAGGCCGGTACACGTATTGGTCAGTTCGTTTCGCTGGCCTCCCGAAGTTTTCGAGTTTCGCGTGGAGGGTCGTCCTTTCCCTCGCCGTGCCACGTGCTCCCGAGCATTCAGCCCGTACGAAACCTTGCTGCCGTCACAGCGCAATTTCCCCCTCGATGTGGCCTCGTTGTGCCCCCCCCCCCCCCCCCCCCCCCCCCCCCCCCCCCCCCCCCCCCCCCCCCCCCCCCCCCCCCC